AGTAGCACGAAATGCACTTGTAGGATGGGAATCCCACGGATCCAGAATCATCAAAGCATCATTCAAAACAAGGAAGGAGGGGATCTTAATGAATATTATCCAATGTTATGCACCCACCAATGATAGCAACGACGACATTAAAGATCAATTCTACGAGCGGCTGCAGTCAATCGTAGAGAAATGCCCAAGAAAGGACCTCACCATTCTAACGGGAGATCTAAATGCCAAAGTCGGAATAGACAACACCAGATATGAAGATATTATGGGACGACATGGACTGGGACAGAGAAATGAAAATGGAGAAAGATTTGCAAATCTATGTGCATTCAACAAATTGGTCATAGAGGGCGCAATATTTCCACAAAAGCGTATACACAAAGCTAAATTAATCTCACCGGACCACACTACAGAGAACCAGATATATCATATTTGCATCAACAAAAAATTCCGAAGGAAAATGGAAGATATGAGAACCAGGAGAGGTGCTGATATAGCTTCAGATCACCACTTAGTTGTAGCCAATTTAAAACTGAAGCTAAAAAAGAACTGGACAAGTGGACAAACAGCAATACAAAAGTTCAATACAGCCTTCCTTCGAGATACTGACAAACTCAATGAATTCAAGATAGCTCTCAACAACATGTTCCAAGCCTTACAAGATCTACTGAAGGAAGAAGAAACTACTATGGAGGACAACTGGAAAGGCATAAAAGAGGCATTAACTTCAACGTGTCAAGACGTTCTGGGCCTAAAGAAACACCATCATAAGGAGTGGATCTCTATAGAAACACTGGACAAGATCAAAGAAAGGAAAAACAAGAAGGCTGCAATTAACAACAACCAAACGCAAGCAGAGAAAGTCCAAGCAGAAGCTGAATACATATAAGTAAACAAGCAAGTGAAGAAAAGCATTAGAGCCGATAAGAAGAAATACGTGGAAGAATTAGGAACGACGGCGGAAAAAGCTACAAGGGATGGAAATATGATACAACTTAACGATACAACGAAGACACTAGCAGGGAAATACAGTAAACCAGATAGACAGGTCAAGGACAAAGAAGGCAGGCCAATCACTGAAATTCAACAACAGCGGAACAGGTGAGTAGAATACTTTTAGGAACTTTTGAATAGGCCGGCCACAATGAATCAACCGGACATCAAAGCAGCGCACACAGATCTTCCTATAGATGTCAATTCACCAACGACGGAAGAAATCAGAGTGGCCATCAAACAAATCAAGAACGGGAAAGCAGCAGGACCCGACAACATACCAGCTGAAGCACTGAAGTTAAAAATCGAAGTAACTACAAACATGCTTCACCTTCTATTCAAAAAGATTTGGGAGGAGGAACAAATGCCAATGGACTGGAAAGAAGGACACCTCATCAAGATTCCAAAGAAAGGAGATCTGAGCAAATGTGAAAACTACAGAGGCATTACACTACTGTCAATACCAGGGAAGGTCCTCAACAGATTGTTGCTGAACCGGATGAAGGATGCAGTAGACGCCCAACTTCGAGATCAACAAGCTGGATTCCGTAAGGATCGGTCATGCACAAACCAAATTGCAACACTACGGATCATCGTCGAACAATTAGTTGAGTGGAACTCGTCACTATACATCAACTTCATTGATCATGACAAGGCATTTGAAAGTGTGGATAGGAGAACTCTATGAAAACTTCTTCGACACTACGGAGTTCCTGGGAAGATTATCAATATTATCCGTAACTCATACGACGGACTACAATGCAAAGTCGTGCATGGAGGACAGCTGACAGATGCATTCCAAGTAAGGACCGGATTCAGACGAGGCTGTTTACTCTCTCCCTTCCTTTTTCTTCTGGTGGTCGACTGGATTATGAGGACCTCGACATCTGAAGGAAAACACGGGATACAATGAACAGCTCAAAATCAATTAGACGATTTGGACTTCGCAGATGACTTAGTCCTCCTATCCCATTCACAAGAACAAGTGCAGATAAAGACAGCCAGTGTAGCAGAAGTCTCTGCATCAGTAGGCCTCAGCATACACAAAGGGAAAAACAAGGTCCTCAAATTCAAGGCGGAGAACAGTAATCCAATCACTCTTAATAGTGAAACTCTGGAAGATGTAGAATACTTCACATACCTGGGAAGCATCATCGATGAACAAAGAGGTTCAGATGCAGACGTAAAAGCGAGTATTAGCAAAGCAAGGACAGCATTCCTACAACTGAAAAACATATGGAACTCAAAACAACTTTCAACCAATATCAAAGTGAGAATCTTCTATACGAACGTCAAGACAGTCCTACTGTATGGAGCTGAAACTTGGAGAACTACTACAACCATCATCAACAAGGTACAAGTATTTATATATAGCTGTCTTCGCAAGATACTCAACATCCATTGGCCGAATACCATCAGCAACAGCCTTCTGTGGGAGAGAACATGCCAGCTTCCAGCTGGAGAGGAAATTAGGAAAAGACGATGGAAATGGATAGGACATACACTACGCAAATCATCAAACTGCATCACGGGACAAGCCCTAACTTGGAATCCTGAAGGGAAGCGGAAAAGAGGAAGGCCTAAGAACACATTACGTCGGATAATAGAAGCGGATATGGAAAGGATGAATAACAACTGGAAGGAGCTGGAAAGGATTGCCCAGGACAGGTTTGGATGGAAAATGAAGGTGAGCGGCCTATGCTCCTTCACGAGGAGTAACAGGCATAAGTAAGTAAGTACATTCAAACAACGCTCCTTAAGTCAAAAGGAACCTGAAATCGCGGATAGTTTCTGAATCTCTTCATCAACTGATACATATTTTATTGAAGATATTGGCTGGTCATGAACAAGTTTGAGATTAAAAAGTCCTTATAATAGTAGTCAGGCACAAATTTTCTCGTCGTTGATGTACTGACGTTCTTGGTAAGGTAGAGTAAACTAACAACCATTTGGAAAGGGTATTAATGAACTGGGGCATAAGGAGAGCAAGATGAAAGTATAGAATTACATATCAATTTCCTTGTTATCTGTGATTTCAAAGGTTATTTACAGAGGCACTAATTATTATTCTCTCTCTGGATTCTGAAGTGATACAGTTTTGTACAAACTAATATCTATCTTTGGTCAAAACATATATTTACATCTTGTTCTTTATATCATGACTAACTGGCTTTGGGAACGTTGCGTAGGAAGAGACGTGAAACAGCAGTTTTGTCAGACACCGTCTGTTCGTGACATCTTCAGATATTGTATAGCTTAATCACAGGCTTATTCAAATTTATCTTCAAAACTATCTGGTGGTCTTATTTACATATTGTAAACTCTATCAAATCTCCTTAACATGAACAGGACCTGGCCTCATTATTTTCACTGAGCACGTTTGAGTACGTTTGAACCCCTTATTTCTAACTTCTGGTCTGGATATATGATCCTTAAAAATAGAGATATCATGGACAATAACATCTACGAGCACTGAATATCTTTATAATATTTCCGATCACAACGGGTAATGGCTGTAGAACCAACGAGATCTAATTATCAGAGAGACGTATTGGCGGAAGTTTTCATCTTTTCTTCGAAATACGGTCGTACCTGCAGTTAAGAGCACAGCAAAAACGTTAGGTTCACTCAAAGCCTCTGGCCGTTTCGTCTCAACGGCAGCTGCCATTCCGTATTTGGATTGCTGTGGCCTGGTTATGTGCTCGTTGGATTCAATTTTTTATGGTATTGTCATACTTAAGTAGTCCGTTGCTGCAGTGAAATCACAAAATCATTCCAAAGAGCATTAACTAACTTTTCTCTTTTTTATAGTCTACAGTTTGGTCCAATTATTGCTTCGTAACTTGATCTTGGTAACTAATCGCTTTTTTTGAAAACTTTATCGAATTTAGAAAACAGAGTAATATCGGATGGAATACCACGATATCCATAAGGTAACTGCTAAAGACAAGATAATATCCGGTAGTTGCCATGAGTAAGATGCACGACGGCGATTGATTCAATTTGTTATCAAACCTATTTTTTGCATGGAAGAATGTATTCAGAAAGCGGGGAGAATAAGCTATCAACGTCAAATATTAATCGTATTATTTTCCTTTCCCATATTAGTTGGTATCATAGTTAGAAGTATTCAAATTAATTTACTGATTAGGAATTCTCGATACAGTGCAATTTGAGGCAGGTAGAACTAGAAGAGCACAAATGAACGTATTATATTTGGAATTCCTAATCAGAGTACAATTAAGTGAAAAGGAATCAATAGTTCTCACAAATACCATAGTGGTATATTCTTGCGTCAGTTTCGTCAAAAATAACGATACTTATGATGGGTAGAACTGTGTTTGTTTGTATACTAAAAATCACGATGTAAAAAATAGTTTAAAGCAGAATCGCCTGTCCTTTCCAAACTGATCATTTTGGAAAATAAAGGCGAACATAGGAGATCTTTGGGGTTATGTCAATGGATGGAAAATAGGGGATTCTGCGGGTATTTAAGCGAAAAGTAGATAAATAAGCGTATAAGTAGACAACTCTGCGGATATTTAGGCGAAAATCCGACAATTCTGCGGATATTTAGGTGAAAATTCGACAATTCAGTGGATATTTAGGCGAAAGTTTGACAATTCGGCGGATATTTAGGTAATAAGTCGGTAATTTATCGACAGAACGGCGAAAAAAGGGGGAAATCCGCATTATTTCCCCCGGACAGGCGAGAAAAGCGAAATTCTGATGCGTTTTCCTCTTTATTTCCCCTTTCGCTACTTAAGCATTTACCCCTTTATTTCCTCTGTGTTCGCCTTTATTTCCCCTTTTTTGGTTGTCTGGGGAAACTGAAACATGTTCACGTGTGATAAATGAAGACATACAAAATGCTCGACAATTTGCAAAAATTGTACAAGAACCCATAGCTTAACTCATTCTTCATTCGAAGAACTAATATTTTAGCAATTTCACTAAACAATATTTATGAGTTTAGTATTTGAAGTTCTCCAAGGTCAGTCCCTGCATTTGTGGATACTATTTTTAAATCTCTTCGAAACCTTATCAAATCCTATTTTCGTTCGTCAATATGTGTCAATTTAACGCTTGTATCGTAGCTAATTGTTATCAGTTTCTTTAGTAACTAAACGTAAGTGAATCATTCTAAGGTTTCTAAATCTACATGAACTTCCTCAAAGAACGTTCATTGAGGAAGTCCGTTGTACCAGGAACTATTTAAGTTATGCATACTTGAGCTTGTGGTCGTTATAAGTCGGTGAATGCCTTGGTTTCCCTTTTTTTGTAATTTTCCCTTGAAACAGTTTGTTTGCTATGATTTCCTTCGGACTGTTCTACCATCTGTTCCTTTGTTTGTTCAGAACTTATAAATGATTGGTTTCATTAAAATAACATACCAACATAAAATTCATTGTTCTGACAAAAATCCTTTAATTTCAAGGGGAATTTTCAAGTGTTTATCAGAAGACGACAAGTTGGATCTTTTTATTATTTTGTAAAACACCTGTTATGTTTGGTGTGTACTAATGTTACATGTATGCAATCGTTTGCTCAAGTAATGCCCTAATTTAAACACGTAGTTTTGTATAGGAGGTTGAATCGGCAAGTGGCTTCGTTTTCAGTCAGGCAAGACCGTTAGTCTTGATGAGTTGTTCACCAACATAATTCCACAATGTAGGTGCCCAATTACAACCATTACTAGTGTTCAGTTTAACAGTCCATTCTTTTCCATATAGTTGAAAAATGATTACCAGATTTAAATTACATATAACTAGTAATTTTTCCTTTCATATTTTCCAAATAGTGCTCACCTGAGATAAAATCATTGAAATTACAAAATAGTCATAGAAATCCTTCACATTTTCATTTCATGCCTCACTTTTGTCACTATAAACATGATAGTATCTAGGATTTTCTCAGTTTCGTCTTCGTTGCTCTTGCATGTTCTCCTTTTACCCTTTAATGTAATATGTCTTCATTTTCTTTTTTTACACAGATTAGTCTAATGACATTTCACAGACTTGATCAAGTATTGATGGTCTAGTGTGTTTTGCAACTTTCCATGCCTCGTTTGTCCTTGCTCACAATCTTTCCAAGTGTCTTTCATTCACATTTATCAACACTGTCAGTTATTTCTGGTTTACTATTTGATGAACAACTTGCTTTGTCGCAAGATATTGGACTTCATTCTCGACTGCATCGTTCGGCCGAATTGAACTTTTCGGATTTTGATGGGCTTAACACTACTGATTTGACCAATGTATCGTATGAACTAAAAGGGTTTTATAGTTTAGGTGACAATCTGGTTTCGATTAGGGGTCGAAATTCATTAGCTACCACAGGATTGCCAAATTATGAACACCATACTGGAGTAATATCTAACCAACCCAACAACACTATTATTTCACACAAGTCAGAAGGGAAAATTTTGTTTGAAGTTGTGACTGCTGCAACGGCGTCCGAGGAAGCTTTTCTCAATCGTTCTTCTGTTTTGTTTGTGGCTGTTTCGTTCATTCTTCTTATGGTGATCAGTTTAGCATGGCTCGTATTCTATTATGTTCAGCGGTTCCGGTACCTACACAGCAAGGAACGAGTTTCCGTAAGTAGTTTTTTCAAACAATTGTTAAGTTCGTGGTGTTAGAAAGCAAAAGATGTTTTTTCGACAAAATGTGACAATATTTGTATTGGAAACATATTTTATCTTTTGTTCTTTCCAATTATTAGCAAATGACTGTCTTGATCTCTATGAATTGCTATCATCAGATCTAGCTTATAATTCGAATTTCGGGATATACATTATGCTCCATTTCGTACTGAGTTTTGCTCATTTTTGTGTATTTTCACTGTTGGTTTCATTCCCAGATGATACTTCAAGGTTTTATATTCAAACACCGACTGACTACAATTTTGAAGGTTACTGTCCTTGCGTAGCAGAACTTTCGTCTGTGTACTTTTAGTTCGTGAGTTTACAAAATTCCCACTAATCCTTGAACTAAACGAAAGCAGTATCGATGACAAAATTATATAAAGATTAATAATGTAGACGACCTTGGTAAATGTCATTTGGCATAACAAATTTAAATAGTAGCTAGCATAGTAGTATATCTTTAAGGTCGAGATATACGTCTACAGGAATTATCCCTGTTCCGAGCACCAATCAGAAACTTGCTTGATTTTCATGTGTTTGTTGGTTCCAGGCTGTAGTATAGTATCTAACGTATATGTTAACTAATATATTAAATACTACTATTGGTCAGACGTATTCTCTAGGCTGTTACGAGGGAATTTTCACCCTCTCTATAAAATGGGACGATCAATAATAAATCTAGTTCCTCAATGTTCGTCAACATCTCAGTGTATCTAGCTGTTCATACTGGATTATCATACTTAAAGACTTTATCCAGTTAACTCAAGCAGACCATCCGATGTCTCCCATTTCAAGTTCCTTTTTACTGTTTCAACTTTGAGGACCGGAGGCCCGATACTGGTTTCTTATTTAGGTTGTTGATAATCGGACAGTTAGTGAGTAGCTAAACTCTGTTTAAAATAGTTCTCAGCGTCCCATCCATCGTCCAAGAGTTATTGCCTGACGGCAGATGACTATTATGTATTTTTAGCGTTACTCTGTTTACCTACTCGGACATTGAAACCATTCACCACAATTATGTTTAAAAACCTGGGTTTTAGAAAGAAGCAGGGGAGTTTTCGGAAGATATCTTTTACATAAATTGGTAAATTCAAATAAATTATCACATGTGTTTTGCCGGTGTTTTCAAAAACCCCTCAACTTCCTACAGTTCTCACTAGTGAAGCGTTACCGATTTGACACAATGTTCAAACATAGAAGGCGATATATGTAGATCGGAGCACATTTTTGGAAACCAAAAATAACATTCCATAGTTCAGAGTAGTTAGCGCTAGTCAAGAATGAAGATAAATATTGAAAAGAATAGCTCATAGCAGGGATGGAAGTTAGTGTAGACAATCATTACTATGACTGTTGGCAAACTTGAGTTTTGTTGCTAGTTCTCAGTCTCACACACCATGAAAGGATTTTTTATCGAGAAACCTGAAAGAGAAATAGAGTAATCATCGATAGTTTCATCAACCTTTAGGGACGACTTTAGATAGCTAGAAATAACTGATTGAACCTGGTGGTGCATAGTTCCTGTCAGCGGTTATTTTATTGATATTAACTCAGTACTACCTTACCGTTGACATCGAAAGTCCATGAGTGATAGAGGGTGTGGTATTTTTGTAGTTAGTCATTAGATTCTTCTTTTTGTGAAAAATATAGCATCACTGGATATGCAAATTACTCATCTAAAGAACCCTACTTCCTCTCTGCACCGATACACTTGGCAGGACGATTTCTTTTTCAGACTTAACATTTGCGCCCAATGAATCTTCCTGGCATATCAGTACTCCAACGAACACACTTTACAGCCAATAAAACTCGGTTCACCATGGTGAATGGGACCGAACACTGATGGAAGCCAGAAGCTACAGTCGCGTAGATATTAATTAATGACAAAAGAATATGTTCGTAGTTAGTAATAAGTTTGTTTGTCTGTATTTACTGAAAAAAAAGTTTCTTGTTAGTTTAAGCTGTAAAGGTAATGTGAAGCTTCCTTTCTAGTTATAGTCGCACTCCTTGATCGAACTGACATCAACTGATAAACCTTTGGCAATCGGGGAGTGCTAGACATGCTTTTTCCTTATTAGCGACTTCCTAAAGAGCCACACCCACAACCCCCCTGAGATCAAATTTTGCACCTTGTGGAGAGCGCCTAAAATGTGTAGCCATGCTTTCTAGTTTCCAGTCAATGTAAGTTTGCGATAAATATTTTCTTTAAACACAACTAATCTCGAATTCCGTTTCACAATTGTTATTGTGTTGTTTGATTATATTTAACTATTCATGCTTTTTAAATGTTTGTTTTCTAATGTTTCAGAGAAGACTTACGGAATTGGCGAAAAAAGCTGTTGCACGTATACCTATCAAAACCCTGCATTCTGGAGATTGGGTAATTTTATCCCACAATTTTTACTTGTATCCTTATAATCAGTGTTTTAAATATGTTTAAAGTTGTCGCTTCGATTTCGTACACCAACGAATTTTAGATTGCTAAATATTGGCTTGAACTCCGTAAGTAATACATACATCTTCACAGACGCATGTAAATGACTCAATAACAAAGTATATTTCGTGCCATCGACTCTGAATAACACTTTCTTTTATGAGAACCTGTTGTAGTTCTCGTTTGTTTTAACTGAAGTAGGTCGAGTGAGTTAAAACTTGCGGCTCAGTTACTGAAAATCGAGTAGTACAATGCACTAAACACTGAATCAACAATTTATTATATCCAAAAGTTAATTTCATATTTTACTCAGCCGACATAACAGTTTTATATAAAGCTTTATATTTCCTTTACTCATGTATTCATACCGATAAAGTTGGTGGTCAAAAATATAATTTATTCTCTAAAAGACCTACTACGGGGGGTACGAAGTGTGCAGATATATTAGATTCTGATATTCCTGTTGGCCGTAAAATTTCCAGTTAATTATTGGATGCAGAAATTAGCCCTTAATTTTCTTCAGACTATTCCATATTATGCCTTCACTTGTTCGCCTTACCCTACGTATTCGACACTTGAATTGGTCATTTCTAGGCACATTAATTCTTATACTTCCCCAAATGTAAATCAAGTTGTCAGTGACTACACTACACTATTACAATAGTGTTATCGTTTAACTTTTCACACTTTTGGAAAAGGTAAACAACCGGTAAAGAAGGTGTAGGGAAGATCGGGGATGCAGATTAGTGTTATCTTTAAAGTCTCAATACTACTGAGTCCCAAGAAACTTGCTTGCTGGGTAAGTGCCGGTGTAGTGATTGAGCGAATAGCTTGTCAAAGAACAGGTGAAGTTGAGGTTTGAAAAGGTTTTCACAAATGATCTTTCATGTATACCCAGTTTTACTTCCGGTCTATTACTTTTTGTCAAGAATAGTTCAGGAAAATAATGGTAATCAGCTTGAGAAAGCTTATATTTACTTTTCTCTATATCTCGTTAACCTACACGGAGCTTTTGTTGCGTTTTTGGATATTATTAGTATGGTAATATGTTTTATTGAATAATCAGAAGGTATTGATTTCTGATCAATTTATTTGTAGGAATTCCCTTTCTATTATTATTATTATTATTGTTATTATTATTATTATTATTATTATTATTATTATTATTATTATTATTATTATTATTATTAGTAGTAGTAGTAGTAGTAGTAGTAGTAGTAGTAGTAGTAGTAGTAGTAGTAGTAGTAGTGTATGCTACTTTTGTCGACATAAGTAGCATATAACACCAATCAGAAGCGGGGACGCCTGGCAGCAAAAGGTTAGGAAGACTGAGTCGAGGAGAATGGGAACAGAGAGTAATAGTTTTGTCACTGTTGATTAAATGGGTACTTTAAAGTCTACTTATTAAATTCCCTCATTATAACTACTTTTTTTACCTAACATTCACACAGCTAGTGTCTTCTGGTAAATCATAACCAAAATCTTTAATTATGTTTATAAATGTTTGGTAATCACAAACGTCTAACCCAATAAGTGAGATACTTTATTGGTCCTGATAATAGTTTATTTGTACATACATTTCTATTATTGTGTTTACTATTGTTTTGAAAAAGCTTTCTCACCAACAAATATCCAATTTTCATATTTTGCCGCAGGAAATAACTTCGAACTATGAACAGTGCGCAATATGTATTGAACCTTTTAAAGCAATGGATAATATTCGCATTCTTCCTTGTCGGTTAGTTGTCCTTTTCAATTAAAACTGAATCTGAGTTTTTGAATAATGTCATTAATAATACGGTTAACGAGTACTGAATTTGAACAACTGAAAAGTTACAAAAAATGATGGTGAAGATTGTAAGATATCTCGTTCAGAATCGGGTTCTTATCGGTTTAAATTAGAATAAGTTAATCTATGATAACTCGATTGGTGTCTAGATCTCTAGTTTAGTAGAGTAAGATTTATTTGGTTGGAAACCATATTCACCGCTAATAATTAGTTATGTTTCGTTCACTGTTCAATTAATTGTGTAGAGAAAACAATAGAACTGAGTAAATCCAATTGTTTAAACCCAGTTGCACTCTGTTAAGAAGTTCGAAACTAGAACGAAACAATTGTTCAATGTTCCTCAATTTTTAATCTTCCTCTATTTGACGTCATTTTGTAACTGGAATTATTTTCAAGTTGTTTTTGTTGAAATAATATTTTACTTACATCACTTGACAGTGTTAAACTTAGTATGCAGAATGTCTTGATGTGGTATCACGCTCTCGATTAGTTACACTCGGGGTTAAGTATGTCTCCATGTCACGTTGTTGCTTTCAATTATTGGGAGCTTCAGAAAACGGTATTATTTGTTAAAGAAAGGTAATTAGTCATTAGATTACTGTCTGAAGACATTCAGGTACAATCCTGACTAGCGAAATCGGTTCTGAATAAGTGTCTCATCATCAAAACAAGGTAATAAATTTGTTGAGTATATGATACTGGAAATCAGCTATACTGTCAGTGTTACCAGCGACAGAGCCAATGGTGTTTAGTGTGATGTTAGTAGTACTCCTTTTGTTCACGAATATCTTCATCACAATTGTTCTTTTGGGATGCATCCCAGTTCGTTGGAGTGTATCCTCCAATCCCTACCCGTTGCTTTTTTAATGACTATCAAGACAATGTAGGAAGTGAAAAAAAATTATGATTTATCAAAGAGAAAAATACAGGCTAAATTCAATCTATAAATAGCCAGCAATATCCAGCACAACTCTGAAACTAACCCGATAAGCAAACGGAAACAAAAGCTCATCCTTTGTAAACAAACTATTAAGGCAAAAGTAAAGGAGTTTTTGGAATTCTTTATATTTACAGTTAATGTTTGACCCTAAGCAACAAAATAAAACGGTGTATTAATTGTTGTGAGAATCAATAATAGAGAACTAGAATACGCAAGTAATATACAACTTACTACGTCATGAGGAAAACGCAGGAATCATATAAAGAATATGAATTGTAGTTGCCCCCAAATGCCCTGGTACGACCGAGAGTGAAGAGAGTTCGCTCTCCCTCTATAAATGCTCTCACATGGCCATGTACATACAACCACTGCCAGGGAAGTCCTACCCACTGTCTTCTCGTGGCGGCGGTGTTGTTTACAAAATTGAGAGGACGAAAAGCGAACGTCCGGCCCTTTAACCGGGTTGGTGGACATGGAGAGTTCACCTAGGGGAGTTGAAAAACCCTGACTCCAAACCAATGGTGCACATGGGCTCCAGGATCCTGAGGGAAAAATAGCGTATGAACCAATCGTCGGTCACCGGCTACCATGGGACTGCATCTCCTTACGTATCTCCACCGCCTTGTGAACCAGATCTTTAGGTCGAAGGCTCCGGGTGTGGCCCCTTAAGAAAACCACCTGCTTTGGTTTAGGCACCCGGGGAGTATCACAGCCCTCACACATATCAAATAAGATCTGTGTGGCACATATGTATTTAGTGCCTCCTTGTACCAATATCTATGTGTTAAAATAAATGAATAATGAATTTTAGTATTTTACCTATATTCGTTTAATTTAATCGTACTTGATTACTGTTTTACTCAACTTACAAAAACTTTGGACAAAATGCTACTGTTTTTTCAACAAAAATCCTAGGTAAAGGGAAAGTTCATTAGTTTACCAAAATCTTTTAAAATCTTTAATAAAACGGTTAAAGCTACAATATTAGATTTCTTTTACCTGTGTTAGCAAGATCAAAATGATTGAATATGTTGACACATGAGATATTAAATTCACTTAGGATTCTTACCATTTAGCACTAAGCTTAATATGAAATTTCACTTTCTGTCATTAGACTAAATGATTTTAGCTGGATCATTAAATGGTATTTAATTTCAATGAATATTGTTATCACTATGTGACCTTTCAAAGTTTGGGGAGGATACTATTTCGACTTAATCTTTTACTTTTGTTTTTGTGAAATTCCATCGCTTAAATCCTTTTTCATGATGGTTACTTTTTTTAGACATTACTTTCACAAACTTTGTATTGATCCTTGGCTTCTGGAACAACGTAGTTGTCCTATGTGCAAACTGGATATTTTACAAGCATATGGTTTTCGCGCGGAGTTATTTTGCAGTTATACAAACTTGGAAAGCTTATCTAATCAAGTACTCTCTACCTCTGGTCCAACTTTATCCATATCTTCAGTTTGTTCAACTTTCTCTAATCTGGTAACGGGCAATCTTTCCAGCCCACGAACGAGTAATGATGTTTCTGTGATAGAAAGCCTTTCGTTGATTACTAGTCAACCACAAATTATGAGTAACCTACTGACAGTCGCACATGGATCTCCATTGACGTATGTCGTACTAACTGGTACTAATGGTTTCGCTAATGCTACCGATTCTATAATAATTCATGCTCAGTCGTTCCCTAAGACGAATGAACAGTCGAGTCTTGAAAATCCAGTTTCAGCTCCACTCATTCAAAATGATGACATAACTCTACCAAATCGTAGTATGACAAACAGTATTACCATCCCATTGTTATCAAATTTATCTCTCCCTCCAAAGCAGTTGGCTACTTCGTCTGTATGGAGCACAAATCTCTTACCAGTATGTGTTGTTACATCTGTTAGTATATCTGAATCATGTCAACCTAGAGCGCTTATGGTCTGCGAATCATTCCTTGGCAACATATTTCATCAAACATGTTCTGTTGTAACCGCAACAGTAGGCTCATTAACTGGTCATTCAATATCCATGTCTAATAATAATAAAGAGGCAACAACTTCGACCACTCAATCGTTAACGGGTCCATTATGCTCAACCACCCATGATTCAGAGGTAAGTGTTCAATGTTTTTATTGTATTGACTGCATTTTATTTCAATAAATGCATTTATCGCAACATGAATTTCAAAGACAACACCGTACTTTTAACTATACTGGAGTATTGTGATAGTAACATGTCTCGCTTGGACAACCAAAATCTCTTTTGATAACGTAAGGAAGGGATTATAAAATGTTGCTCTACCAAAAGATTCTCTTGTTGACTTAGAATCCTCAGGAGATATAGTTGTTTGGTGAAGACACTGAAAAAGATTCATTTTTCTAATGGCTCTAGGTAACAGTGCAAGTATGTTTGAGATTCATTTCTTTTTATCTAAATTCAAAATTTTACTTCAGGACTAGTCTGCACCAACATCTGAACTAGTGATAGGGAGTGAAGTAGTTAAGTATATTTATCACCACTTATTTTGGATTTATTTATTTATATAAACACATAAACATAGATACAAAGAGGCACCAAATAGATATGCGCCACACAAGGCACTTAATTTGTGTGTGGGCTGATACTGCCCTGGTGGTTTTCTTAGGAGGCCACACCCGGAGCCTTCGACCTAAAGATCTGGTTCACAAGGCGGTGGAGATACGTAAGGAGATGCAGTCCCATGGTAGCCGGTGACCGACGATTGGTTCATACGCTATTTTTCCCTCAGGATCCTGGAGCCCATGTGCACCATTGGTTTGGAGTCAGGGTTTTTCAACTCCCCTAGGTGAACTCTCCATGTCCACCAACCCGGTTAAAGGGCCGGACGTTCGCTTTTCGTCCTCTCAATTTTGTAAACAACACCGCCGCCACGAGAAGACAGTGGGTAGGACTTCCCTGGCAGTGGTTGTATGTACATGGCCATGTGAGAGCATTTATAGAGGGAGAGCGAACTCTCTTCACTCTCGGTCGTACCAGGGCATTTGGGGGCCTTTCACTTATTTTGAAAACCTCATTACATCCGGTAGGTTGTTGTGTGACGAGATCCCGGAACGGATTCAGAAAGCCCACTTGGCTTTTACCAACTTATATCACTTATGACGTAGACAAGATGTCCATCTGGCACAAAAGAACGAGTTTACCGCACAATAGTCCACACTGTTTTACTTTATGGGTGTGGAGCATGACCATTAAGAATAGAGGATATTCATAGGTTACTAGTATTCGGTCACAGGTATATTTTAGGACCATCGAATTAACAATCCTAGAGTTAGACGCAGAGTACTAGGTAAGCATGGGAAAGGAATCGACGAGATAGTAAATCGTTATCGACTGAAATGGTTGGGACATGTATTATGTATATCTATCCACGGGCTTCCGCGGCGCCCAACGATGGCTAATATAGGAATAGATCGAAGAAAATTTAGAGACAGCCAAACCAAGACATGGGATCAGTCATTGACTGTTCTAGTGAGCCATGTAGGTGGGTTGCGGTCAGCGTGTTTATCGTAACCAATGACAAGCGATTTCGAACGACATGGCTCGAATGGTTCTCATTAGCGCAAGGTATGTCCATTCTATCTTCGCTTAGATCCTAAATTCCCAAATTCCTCATACATTTATTTTAATACTTCATTAATTTATGTTTTCTCGCGTTGTATCTTGGATTTCTAATGTTTTTATTGTCATTAATTCTGTTACAAGCTCTACTTCTCTGGAATTTGCCTTGACAGTTTCATCTCGCTGTGCTAAGTGGATTTTGCAAACTAAACCTATGTACACATGTGCCAGGTTTTACATTATGTTTGACTGAATTACTGCTTGTACTATGTAAAAATATCATAAACCAGTTTGGTAAATACAAATCAAAATGTTTATGTGTATGTATACTAATATCTCAGAGAACAGCTTTCAGAATTTTGTATTTTGACTTATTTGGCTCATCCTAACAATTAATAGGTTTTAAAAGACAAGTAGCCTAGTTATTAGATTTCTAAACTCTACATATTTAGTCAATCTCCTAATATGTTTTTATTTAGAATTATCATCTTTCTAGATGATTTCATTTTTTTAAAGCTAAACAGTTAAACGATTTTCTTAAAAGCTATTTGTGCCGTTCTCTATTTCCTCCTATCCTATATTTAGATTTTATCAATACATCAAATGAATTTTATTTACACTAACTGTCCAGGACATTTGACATCGCAGACAAATCTGTCTGTAGAACAACCACAGGCAATTTGTCCCAACAATAATCCAGTTAATTTAAATTCGTCACAATATCCAATGAATCAGCGTAATTTGCGTATAATAAATTTTAAAAATATATTTCATCCTGATAAACCTCTTAATAGTAACATTCCTCCTCGAAATGACCAATCGTCTGTGAATGTATTTCGTAATTGGTTTACTCGCCACTGGTGTAATACATTTTATCCACAGTCTAACAATAATAAACGAATTAATCGTTTTTCGTACAGTTCTCCTTCATATTATACAACTAATTCTACATCTTCAAACAGTCCTATTGTCAATACAGATGAATTTGATCAATGTAAGTCAAATTTAATTAGTTCCAAACAACAATCATCCAGTACATCAAGTACTAAAGAATGTTATGTAACTGCTGTTGTTGAAGATGTACCATCAGAGACAGGTAATAGTTCAACACTATCTGAATCTATGAATATACTTAATTCAGATCAGTTTACAATTATTCATTCTACGAATTCGGCATCTAATAGTTTTAGTCTACATGGTACAACATTAAATTAGCATTTTCTCATTAATTTCAATTAAATAATTTTATTATGTTTAAAATTGTTTTTCAACAAATACATTTAATGTACACATACATTAGTGAATTCGTATTATATTTTGCCATTTGTTGGTTTGATTATTTTGGAATACAACAAAGAAATGAAACTCTCATATTTTTATTTGCTTCATTTACTTTGAATTACTTCTTGTACACAAACTATCAATATAGTTAAATACTACTTAAAACAATTTGCTCCTTATTATTACTATTGATGTTGTTATTTAACAGTTATTAAGCATTCAATACGCACTATTTACTTGTTCATAAATTGTATATTTTTCAGTTTACGTTTTCCCATGGGCTTTATATTGGTTATTTTTACGATGACTGATCATACCCAATTATCTTTTATCAATATACTTGTTAGATTTCATTGAACCAAACCATTACGCCCTTTGTATCATTCCCTAATATACTTGAATTCATAGAAACCCAGCGTTTATGGTGTTGTCTGTTGAGTGTGTGCAATGTTCCGTGTGTGATCTCATTTAAGCTATATATATATAACCTTTTCTTTGATTTTTTTTAATTTTCCGTATCAAAAGTAACTAAATACTGGAAAATTATCTGTTATATTACTGTTGTCGTGAATTTTCCTAATCGTTCACTATTTGTTTCTCTGTATTTTTTGAGACAACGATAATTCATCGGCTCGTCTATTTAAAAAAACCTTCAGGTTAGATAAAAATTCTTCCCAATAAACTTTTCATTATAATTATATGTTTATTGTAGAATGATCGGTTCTTCTTTACATCGTTTTCCTAAACAGTTTTTGACTCTTCATTTGTGCTGTCCTAACTTTTGTATCTAGTATTTTTTAGCCGCGTTTAATAAATACATTGTAGATCTGCTATAAACTTATTTGTTACTGATGTTTGGTGAACATGTTTATGAATCATCAGTAAATCATTCTATAGGCATTAGGGGTGAGGTTATGGTTAGAATGTCAGTCGCAAATATCTAACAAATGGTAAGTCCTTGAAATTGAGTGTTTTGTTTTATAACGAAAGCATACAAAGTGCGGAATCCGACTGAATTGATAAAAATTACTTCATTTTATAAAATCTAATTAACACCTTTGTATATCATTGTAATCAAAAGTATCACTGCCATGCTATATGATTCTTAATTCGAAGCAGAACTCTCCAATATTATTTATTGCATAACGCTAATAAATAAAAAAAATTCGTCTAAAGTTCATTCAGGTGCATCATGATACAACTGTAATCATAGCAAGTACCAATGGCTAACCATAATCATTCAGTCATACTGTTTACGAAAGACGGAGACTCATTGTTGAAAAACAAGACAAGTGGGATTACTGTGCCATATGAGTCTTTTCATTTACAATATGCTACACACCGAATACTAAGGGTTTTATGCTTGGTTTTTTACCACTTAACGCTTAATTATGTTGTGATAATACCTATTAATTTAAAATACAAAATACTTAAACTCCATGTTAGTTTACTTCTCTATGAGCACAAACATACACATACCTGTTGTTACTGATGTAATATTCAGTTGACGAGTACTCCTTTTTTAAAGAAAAGCATTTCATGTCTTAATGTTATTCGTAGTAATTCATATATTATTAAGTAACACCTAATACTTTTTTCAGTCTGTCAATGCAATATAAGTAGGCGAATGAATTTCGGTTATTTCCCCGTACATTTTCTTCCATAAAACGGGGATTTATGCAAAAGGTAATCCGAGTAGTTCAACGTCATTTAATGGCGGCAATATTTTCCCCGTTACTTGATATTTTCGTTTGTAAATCATACGTGAAATGATCCCTACATTGGGAATTGAACGATTAAAATATCTTATCACCTGATAATTACCTTCAATTTTTATGTTCTCCTAACCTATGTGTAGTAAGCATTTTTTGTGTCACAGGAGTCGATCTTCGTTTCCCAGCGTTTCCTATCATGATTCTTCATTTTGTGATTCCTAGGCGCGTTATTAAACCTTCTACATTGTTTTTGTATATTTGTTTCGATCAACTCATCTTTTTTGCATTTTGTCCAATTCATTGCAATCATATCGATTTTTAAAACTGTCTTATCCTTCAATGTATAAACTCAAGAAGACAATGAATGGATTTTTTATTAAACTGAATTATTCACATTATCCAGTTTTAACAACTGAAATCGTATTTTAGTTCACAAGATGATACTGAAATTCACGAACACTGAAGTGTGCATGATAAACCAGGCAACATCAATTAATTCACTCTTTACTCAGACATTTAGACTAAATATTATGACTTACGTAGGCTAAAGTTTGGAGACTCATCGAAAATAGTATCGAATTTTTCGATCTGTCTAACTGAACACTAAAATTATACTAATGAAAAGTTCGGAATTCTGATTACATGATTTTGTTTAAATGGTTCGAATGTCCTATTACTACTGTTAATACATATGTTAATTCTACTATTCCATCAACTTGGACATGATTTGACTATCAACATCTATCTATTGCGTTAAACTGAATTATTAGCCAATTGGTTCTCGTCTTAAACTTAGAGAATCTATTGTATTGAGCAGAGATTGATTTCGTCGACTTCTTATGACACTTATTTTTCATGCTGTCATTTGTACATCAAATGTTACATATTCTGTCAGTTTAGTGATTAGTCAAAACATTTTAATAATATTGAGTGTATTTTTAATTTTACAAGTGCATTATATATGTTTTATACGAATTAGTCTGGGTTACACATCATGAATGAACCAGGCTTATAGGTTAAAATAGATGGATAAGGTGAATTGTTGGTAAGTTTTGTGTATTCCAAAGCCAGCTCAAGGAGCATAAAAATAACACTCTTGATACATCACACACTTTTATTTTACAATTTCTAGGAATTTTTTTTCGTTGTCATAGGTGTGTTAACCATGTCTGATGGAGGGTATAAGCTTGTTTGTTTCAATACTGGAGAATTCAATAATATGAGCTAGGAAGCAAAAACAATTGTGTATGAAGTTGCTTAATTACACTTATGATAATTTACTTGTATTGCTGATAAACAGTATGATGTTAAGTCTTGGTTGTATATAATATATCGTGTTCATATCCTACGAGATACCAAAGGTAAGAATTCTCTACTTAAACAAATAGAATATTATAGATCTACCAATGTAGCTTCAAATTATTTCTGTGAATAAAGTGTTTGATGTGTGCTGTAAACAGAATTCACCTTGCTTAGTTTTCACTTGCCAAAGTTCGTTTACACTACGTATACAGAATGAAATGCTAAATGAGTAATTTCCGGGCTTTACTGTAGCGATTGGTCAATCTGCTCGTTCTATTGAAATAATAAACACCTGGACATATTGCATAGTTTTTTTGAAACATGGTGCCAGGAATAAATGGTATCATTATTTAAATGTAACTTAATGTAATCTGTTTTTTGCATTTTGTTCCATGTTCGTTATCATAACTGGGCGGGGTGGATAAATGACAAACATAACTTCTGAAGACAGTCGAACTTTCTGTGAATTGTTGCACATTTTATATGTAGGAAGATATCTAGTATGAATGTGTGATAACGTTTGGAGTGTTCGACGATAAAAGCACAGTACGCTGATGGCTGTGAGTTGATCAATCAGAAACAAGATAACGCCTCATGTATTTAGCGTGAACTTTTATGTGCAGTTGCATAGTTTGTATACCATGATTAATTAAGCATGAATTGCCAATAACTGGTTCCTAAATTGCTTGAAATCAATAAAAGTATCTATTATACAACCAAAAATCTAATCTAAGATGATGCCTAAGCTAAATTTTGAAATATATGTGCTCCTAAAATAGATGGTGTGCTACAGTATTGGATGTGATTCAACGAATAATCAATAGTGCTTGTTGAAGCAACATAGTGTTCTACCTTTTTAACCCTTACTCTAAATCTCAACCGTAGGTCTCGTAAGTTTGTAAACCGAACCCAATCTTCCTATTTTGAGGAAAAAAATTTCTGTTTTAGGGAAATGGCACAATACACAAAAATTTTGGAGATTTCCTCAGAATTTTATACAACTTTCCGAGGTCTGTCCATACTTGTGGTGTGTCCTACTTATATTGACATAAGTAGTAGGTGATGTTAGTCGTGAACAGAATGTTTAGCAACAGAGAGACAAGAGGATCGAACAGTAAAGAATCGAGACAGAATGCAATTTATATGAAAATGCAAGGACAATGAAGTCTGAGTCATTTTGAGACAACTGATGGATATTTTACAAATTAAGTACTTTATGATTGTTAGATTTTAGTAACAAGTCCTGTAATTTTGTGTTAAATACGTTCGATTGTCCCCACTCTTGTTCTGTTCACTACATACTGATTGTTTAAAACCCAAAATTTTGGGTTTTTCCCCTAATATTTTCACGGAATTTGGGGGGAACTATCATTGAAATTTGAGGATTTCCCAAGAATCGAGAGATTGGGAAATGGTCGTAAAGCATTGCATCATAGCCAATATCATTTCATGATGAAAATCCTAACCGTAATGCGAAAAACTAACTCAAAATTCCAGATTCACTGTTGATACATAATGTTAATAATTTCGTTTTACAACTGACGTTATATGGTGATGAAAACTATGGAGTGATAGCCTGACTTCTAAAGTGTAAACTTGAAATTTGCCGATCCTACAAGAAACAACTTGACATTTTAGGGTTAACTGTTTAGAACAACTATATTATTTCACTGTTATTTCATTGGTGTTTATTGTTTATTAATTTTATAACCAAGTAGCGTCCATTGGTTGGCTGATTAGTCGTTCAAGGTTGTTGATATGGTTTATTTTTACCAGTTTGACGGATGATGTGAAACTTCGTATGACAAAACAACAAAACCACCGATCTTAGCAAATATAGCGGGCTACTTTACTCTTTACTTCAGTCTTCGGTAATAATTATATGAGGTCTGTCGACCTATATTCATCCCGGCATTTTGTAACACTGTGGAGGTTCAATCTCGTTTTGAATATATATCAACAGAAGGTGCTGATATTACATGTTCTGAAAGCGAATTACAGTAATGCACTACTCGGTACGAGAAACGAAATTCTAGACGTAGACGATTTGATCTCGACTTCCGAATTTTATAAAAACGTTCTCAAACGACCAGTCCTAGACGGAAGGAAAATATATAACATAATAATACCAAGTTCATCGTTCAGTATACGATAAGCCAAAATCAGATCACCCCGTATTCTACGGTAAGATAACGGAAATAAGTTCCAAATGTGGTCTCACGGAAGTCGGGTATAATAATCTGAACAGTTCGTCATCTTGTAGCGGTAAATAAATCCCCAAAATATATAGCTCTATGTTTTCGACATTGGATGCTGACCATATGTTTCAGTGGACTCATCTAGCTGAAGGCGCTCGGTCATGCATCCGCACCAGACCACGTGTGGTAACGCTATGCTCAACATCTACCGCAAACGCTAGCCAGATTAGATCAGAGAATTCCGATATATTGGTCATCTCCAAATACACTCTTCCGATCTTCTCGACTCTGTCTTTTGATTTCTCTGGGTGGGAACGAATTATATTAGAAGGTGTTACTGGTAAAAGCGTTGTCCAACACTGAATACCTGTGTCATCTTCAATCTAAATACTGGAAACACCGAATAAACCTTAATACCTTTTAGCCTTTTGCAGCAACAGCCTTGCAGTGACTGGTTGTTTTGCGATCACTGCTTAGTATGACTCTCAAATCTTTATAGTTTATGACTTTGGGTAGCACGAATCCACATATTGTATAGTGGTGTGATTCATCATAGTTATTTAATTGCATCTCCACACTCTTGTCAGGATTTACTTATGGTGACCACCTGACCATCCAT